ATTATGTATACAATATTCTGTCTGTATGTATGTCTGCAGGCCAGAAGAGGGCACCAGACCTCATTCCAGATGGTTGTGAGCCACCATGTGGTTGCCGGGAATTGAACTCAGGACCTTTGGAAGAGCAGGCAATGCTCTTAACCACTGAGCCATCTCTCCAGCCCCCACAACCCTTTTTTAAAGGAAAAATCTAACGTAGGTCAGGAAGACCTTGAACTGACTGTGTGGAGGCAGGATGACCTTGAAGTCCTTCCCCCCCCCCCTCCCCCAGCTGATCTTAAGTGGAGTCTCACCACACTTGATTTCTATTCCTGTGGCCTGTAGCTCCTCACGGAGTTGTTGCCTTTCTCGTGCTCTGGATGCTGGATGTAATTCATGGGAGGCTCTGCCTGTGCCCCTGGAAGGGAAAGTTTATCTGGTTCCCACATCCACCTTCAGCATGAACAACTGCTTCTGGAAACCCCAGGATGGTTTCAAGGGGCCAAGAACTCTGCTGTAATTGACCATCTTGTAATGGCAGCCATTCAAATCGGCTCCCTGCAGAGGAGCTATAGGAGATCCCGCCTGCCTGAAGAAAGCATTACGCTAGACAGTGGTCATATGAGCCTTTATTACTGCTGGCACTCAGGAGACAGAAGCGGGCAAACCTCTGAGTTCGGGGCTAACCTGCTCTATAGGGTGAGTTCAAGGACAAGTAGGGCTACGCAGAGAAGCCGTCTCAAAAAAAAAAAAAACAAAATAAAAATAAAATAAGGGCAGTTGAAGGAGGGAAGGGTTTATTTAGGGGGTACAGTGTCATGGCAGGGAAAGCATGGCTGCAGGGGTAGTTATGGGTGGTTGTAAGCCGTGGGAACTGAACTCTGACCTCACTCAGTCATCGCTCCAGTCTCATAAATAAACTGAGAGAAGTGTAGTGGTTTGAAAGAAGATGGCCCGACTTTGTAGATTCCCCATGCGAGGCCTTATCCTTTCTGAGGAGTGGATAAGAGTTTGGGTGGGGGGAATGTGGGAGTGGAAAGCAGGAGGAGAGGGACGGAAAACTGTGGTTGATATATAAAATAAAAAAAAAAATACTTTTTTTTGTTTGTTTGTTTTTTTGAGTCAGGGTTTCTCTGTAGCTTTGGAGCCTATCCTGGAACTAGCTCTTGTAGACCAGACTGGCCTCAAACTCACAGAGATCCGCCTGCCTCTGCCTCCCGAGTGCTGGGATTAAAGGCGAGTGCCTCCACCTCCTGGCTGAAAAAAAAAAAAACCTTTTACATAAAAAAAAAAAATTAAAAAAAAGAAAGAAGATGGCCCCCACAGGAAGTGGTACTATTAAGAGGTACAGCCCTGTTGAGGTAGGTGTGGCCTTGGAGGAAGTGTGTCACAGTGGAGTGGACTTTGATGTCTCTTTTGCTCAAGCTTCGCTTAGTTTAACACTCAGTCCACTTTCTGTTGCCTGAGCAAGATGTAGCCAGTACCATGTTGCCACGTCCACAGCAGTGACTGCCGTGTAGTGACAAAATGCCTCTGCGCTGGCTTTTGCCTGCTGAAGGATTGGGGTTAGAGCTTCTTGGAGCGAAGCCCCAGGTGGTCCCCCTGGCAATCAGCGGTCGAGATAGGACCTGATGCCAGAGTCAGATCTCGTATCTGGAGATGGCCCTGAGAGCGAGCCCTCCTGACACCTTGCCTGATCTTTCTCTGTATTTCTTAATTTTCTTGTTTATAGCTGACCGCTTACCAAGAGATCAAAGTAC